CCCTGTGACCCCGGGAGGGATGTCCCCTGCAGTGCTGACCATCTGCAGGTCCTCCCAGCCTCCTCCAGAGGACACTTCACACATTTCCTTGGCCTTTAGCTGCTAGTTTGGAGACCTGCTGGGTCTCACCCCTGCTGAGACACTTCCTCTTCCTCCCTGGACACTGAGGATTCAGGGACAGCCCTGGGCCCCTGGAAGGGAGGCGTGGGGCCCGTTGTTCTGTGCTCTGGGCAGCCAGGCTGTGCAGCCTGCAGCCAGCTCAGCCACTCGGCCCTGTGTCCAGCAGGCGCACAGAGGGGCACTTCCCTGACGTGAGCTCGGGTCCCTCTGCCCCCGACACACACTGGTGGGTCAAGATGAGCCCTCCAGCTGAGGCCTCATGGTCACAGGAGCAGGGCCAGGGCCCCCCTGCCACCTGAGCGACTGCCACTTCTCTCTGCCGTGTCCCTTCTGTGGTGTGGCATGCTTGTCAGGCCAGGGGCTCTGCTGGGTGTGGGATGACGTTGACAGGGCAGTAGGGGACACGGTGGTGCCTCTCGCTGTCTCCTAGGTCCTGGGAAGCAGTGCAGGGCCTGGTGCCACTGCTGCTGGGGACATAGGCTGCGGACGCAGGCTGGGGACCAGGCAGGGAGCGGTGGCAGCAGCTGGGCCTGAGCTCAGGTGGCCCTACTTCTCTGTGATGCGGGTGTGTGGACAGAGGGGCACGTGCCCAGCACCCAGACCAGGACTCGCCTCAGAGCCTGAGATTGTCACGCGAGCCAAGGTCGTCCTCTGGGCTGAGTGTGACTCATGGGGCACAGGAAGGGACACGGTCCCCTCCGTCCCACATTCTTGGCCCACCACGGAGCCTGCACAGGCTTGCGGAGAACAGGAGCCCACGGCCGTGGAGAGGCAGAGATATCCCCGTGTCCTTGGTCTCTGTGAAGGCCACCTACCGGGGGACTTTAAAGCAGGGCGGGGCCTGGGGAGGAGGTGGGGCCTGGGATGGCAACTGGTTCTTCAGGACAGCACTGCATTCGTCACCTGCAAACCGGTGACACGAGTTTGCCCTGGGCTCCGTCTGCCAATGTCCTCGGGTGACACTGCAGCTCTTGGAATCCAGGGCTCACTCCAGGCCTGGCTGGTCCCCAACTCTGTCCCTCCAGCTTGGCCGAGGAGCCCAGGGCCCAGGCCATGAGAAGCAGGGGTTGTGAGCCACATGTGGCCCTGGGAGGGTCCGGTGCAGGTCCCCATGGCCACCAGTTTGTACCCACCGTGGCCTGTGAGGCCCCAGCGTCATCATACAGGTGAAGGGAGCCAGGGCACCCCAGACGCGGGGCAGGCCAGCCTCCAGAAGGTGGCCACCCGTCCACCCTCTGGCAGCTGAGCGGGAGGGACAGTGACCTTCCCACTGCCCTTTTGTGCCTCTGTTTAAAACATGCAAAAATTGAAGCTTCTCATTCTTCTCTGCGGTTCCCAATGGGCTCTCCTTGGGGGGCAGATGTACCCCCTGGACTTCCCCACCGGCCGCCCGTCCTTCCGCCCGACACCTCCGTCCTGGCTGCCACAGGCATCCCCCAACTCTGCTGGCTCCAGGAGCCCCGATGGGGAGCACTTCCTGCATGAATGGGGGTGCACGGGGATTTTTCCGGAAGTTCCACGTCTTCACTAGGCGGGTTCAGTCTTTGGACAGCCAGAATGGCTCAAGGACCAGGTGTCTGTGCGTCTGGAGAATCCCTCGGTGCCTCCGTCTGATGAGGGAGGTTCCCAGGGTCCAGGCTGTGCCAGGCACCAGGCCCAGCATAGGGCGGAGAGGCCAGGAGGGGAAGGAGATGCTGAGCGGTACTCCCTGCTAAGGCTGTGTTAGAGACGGTGACAGGAGCCCCTGGGAGAAGTCAGCAAAGTAATGGAAGGGCCTCCCCTGTATAGGGTGGAGGCTGAGTTGGAGCCAGAAGGCACAGCTCAAGGGAGAAGAGCTTAGTGCCTCTCTTTTGCTGAGGCCAGCCTCCCACTCACGATCCTCCTTCCTCAGCCTCCCAAGCCACTGGGATTTCAGGCATGCACCACCATGCCTGGCTGTATCCCAGATCTTCAAGGTGGACTATAAGGTCTACACAGCAGCAGGCAGGAGCCTGCTGAGTGTGAGGACAGGAGAGAAGGCTGATGTGGCTGGGGCTTGGTGGTTGTGAGGGATGGTGCAGTGAGACTGTGGCTCTGCGAGTGTCATATTGCTTAGGCGTGTATTTCAACTTAGTGGTTTTCAGTCAGGGCAGGCAGGGCCAAGGGGGGTTGTGGCCTTGGCCACTGCAGTCTCCAGTAGGACACGTTAAGGATTCGGGCTCAACCTCAGAGGCCTGGAAAGCCATGGATGTGTTTTAACCAGGGTGCGATATGATCGTGGCTGCTTGTCTCCTTTTGAGTCCAAAGCCTGATTTTTCCCCCTCCAGATTCTTAGTACTGAAAGTCCTCTTAGCAGATACTGACCTGCTCGCTGTGCACATGGCCCTTCCCCTGAGTAGGGGATCCCAAAGAGCAGGAAGCAAAGTGAGCTAGAGACGGGCCGCAACCCCCCTTGGCCCTGCCCGCCCCAACCGAAAACCCCCCTTGAAATACTCGCCTAAGCACTATGACATGTTGCAGCTGGTCCATGTTCAGCCGAGAAACGTCCGGTGTGGGGATGCCCATCATCTGGCAGCACAAGAGAGAGACTGGGGTGCCGTTTGTTAGGGGAGAGATTCTGTAGAAAGTGGGGTCCCTGGAAGGGGTTGGGAGAGAAGAGTTAAAATGGGGACATTGGCAGCTAAAAGTCCACAAAACACCAGCTCAGGTTTGCTCCTTCACTTGGTGCATTTGCTGTGGTCACTACCTCAAGCAAAGCCAGGGCGTAGAGATGGATGAGCCTCTAGGAGCATCTGCCTGAGTGACCTCTGGGGTCGGTCCCCAGGTTCTGTGACGCTGTGAGCTCTAATAGGGGTTTCTTAGAACTCACTTTTGAAAGCACCTGTCTCCTACTCTGCGGGCTCCTGGTTGGCAGCCTCGCCCCATGGAGTCGCAGAAACAGACGGCCAGAACAGGACCTGGCCTCCTGGGGTTAAATCCTGACTCTGCCTTCAGGTTGCTGTGTGTCCCAAGGCCGCTCACTGCCCCTCTCTGAGCAGCTTCCATTTTCTTCTCTTTGTAAAATGGACAATATTGAGATAGATGCTCTCTCTGAGATCCAGCACGGACATTTTACGTCCCCAGCTCCTCTGCTGGCTGGCCATGGGGCCCACGGAAGTGGACAGAACACCCCTTGGGTTGTGGATGTCCTTCTCCACTGCCTCCAAACGCTGGTCTTAGGCAGCGGCACCCCAGAGGTGGGGGCCTGACCCCGCCCACCCCGCGTCTTGCAGGTGCACCCTTTGCTGCCAGGCTCGGCCACCGTCCTGATCCATGACCTGTGCCTGCCCTTCCTGGCCCCAGCCAAGGCCACCGTCTACGTCTCGGACATCCACGAGCTGTACGTCCGCGTGGTCGACAAGGTCAGTGGACTCGTCCCCGTGGCCTTGAAGCTGGCCTTCCCACTTCTTGCCGCGTCCCTCCTGCCCTTGGGCTGCTCTGAGCTCCCTGGCTGGACGGGGAGGGGCAGCATCTCCACTGCTGTCCGGTTTCCTCATCCAGCCGACATCCGCGGGGCTCAGCCGCAGACCCTGGCGAGGTCAGCTAAGCCAGCCTGGCCTGGGACCCGTGTCCTCCAGCGCCCGTAGGTCACACAGCAGCCGGGCCCCCCACCTTGGGTGCAGCTGTGCTCCTCTGGAGTTTCACCACCCTGGGGAGAGCTCAGGGCCTCCAATTGCTCTTGCAAAATGGTAAATAATAGATCTGGGTTTTCTTTGGCCTCATCACGAAACTTTTTCTTTTTCTTTTATTATTATTATTTTTTGGTACCAGGACTGATCCCAGGGGCACTCGGCCCCTGAGCCCCGTCCCCAGCCCTTTTGGTATTTAATTGAGAGACAGGGCCTCACTGAGTTGCTTAGGGCCTCGCTGTTGCTGAGGCTCACGATCCTCCTGCCCCAGCCTCCCGTGCCACTGGGATTACAGGCACCCAGCTCATCAGGAAATTTTTATGACTTCAAATATCAGAGGTAATCCACGCCAGGCTTCCAGGGGGGTGCTGTCAGCCTCTTGTTTGACCCAGTGGGTATAATGGTTGGTAATTAAAAGGCAAATGTTCAGGCAGCTTAGGCTACTAACCTACAAAGTATCATTAGCTAAAGTGCTAACATTCCCGACCTGGTCTTAAATATTCCTCCCATAATCTGATTTCTGCTGCTCATTTGCTTACTAGACTCCTTTTTCTTTGCTAAGCATTTCCAACCCCCACTTGCTATTATGCACTGCCAGATGTGAACTGTTCAGTTGGTGAGCACTTATTGAGCTCCTGTTGAATGCATGATGGAGTTATAAGCTATATATTTTTTTTTTCTTTTTTTTTTTTTTTGCATGGGGGTACCAGAGATTGGACTCAGGGAAACTCAGCCCCTTAGCTGCATCCGCAGCCCTATTTTGTATTTTATTTAGAGACAGGGTCTCACTCATTTGCTTAGGGCCTCACTGTTGCTGAGGCTGGCTTTGAACTAGCGATCCTCCTGCCTCAGCCTCCTGAGCTGCTAGGATGACAGGCATGTGCCACTGCGTCTGGCCTAAGCTATACCTTATTTTCGGGGTTCTGTGGTTCATCCATTAAGAGTAGGGGGTGAAATTCATGTCTCTTAGTGTCCCCAAGTCCTGTTGTATACAGTAAGTACTTAATTGGTGTTCATTTGTTGATTGACCTAGTCCAGAGAGAGGTCATCCTGGGCCACTCATCACCAGCTCCTAGGGCATTGGTTTTGAGGTCACTGTCCCCACCTGAGGGAACTGGTCCTTCACGCCTCTGTCCCCCCCGAACGCAGGTGGAGATTGGGAAGACGGTCAAGGCCCACGTCCGAGTGCTGGACTTTTACAAGAAGCCTTTCCTGGCCAAGTACTTTGCCTTCATGGACCTCAAACTGCGGGCGGCCTCCCAGATCATCACCCTGGTGTGAGTCCTCCCGGGGGTCAGGCGGGCTTCTCAGGGACAGTGCTGGCCCGACTGCGCCCTCCCTGCCAGGTCTGACCCAGAGGTGGAACCCAGCGCCCCGTCTGTTTCAGGGCCCTGGACGAAGCC